GCTGGAGGAGCCAGGGGTGCACGGCTGGAGGAGCATGGGGGGGGGCGCAGCATGGCCGCAGCGCGCCCAGAGGAGCCAAAGGGGGGCGGCACTGCCAGAGGAGCGGGGGGGGTGGCGCAATTTTAAATTCTTGCCTCGGGCGCAAAAATAGCTAGTTACGGCTCTGCCTTATAGGGACATTCTAAATTGACAGCAGAGTTTGAATGTAAACTGGCAAAGTAACCCAACAATAGAATTTGCATATAAATCTGAGACTAGCACTGAAATTTGACAGTAGGTTACATGTTTAGATTAAGAGTGTTACAATTCTGGAGTGAGCTATACCTTTGTCTGTTCTCTCAGTCTTTCTTTGGGCACCTCTTTCAAGTGGCAGACTTATAACTTCTCTGAGTTGGAATCCTGTGATTCACCTAACTTTTAGATGGAATCACCAAGTTACAGCACCCCGTTTACCAACCATATTTCTTCAGCAGGTCCAACTGTCTTTGGCCCCTACTGAAGTCTTCTCTCTGGGAGCTGTGACCAGTTTGTAAATACAGAGGCAGACTACAGCTTGTTCAAAATATAGTATTATTTATTTATTCATAGGAACATAACAAATAGAGCAAAAAAGGATTAAAACAACAAAAGCCTAAACATACATTGTCTTACCTAAATTTAGCACCTGCCGCATCCAGTTAGTCCTGATTTAGCCTTGGTAACCTCTGCCTCATTTTCCTGAGGACCAAGCTGTAGTCTGCTTTTCTGCAGAGACTTTGTCTTCTCAGGCTCAGCTTTTTAACCACTTTCAAGCTCTTTGTTGAGAGTTCCTGCCTCAAAAGCCCTGGAGTTTCAAGCTGGAATCTACCCTACCTTCTTGTGGGATCATACTCTGATTCCACATTAGTGAAGATAAACCTCAAAGGAATTTTCACCTCTTTTGCTGTTTGAGTACTGGCCATCGGAGCTGTCTACAGCCATTGATTTTTGTTTCCTGCAAAGCTAAATAAGGCTACGGTGTTGGCTACACTAGAGAGCTTACACCAGCATAGCTGCACCATTGTAAGCTCTCTAGTGTAAGTGCTCTAAACCAATAGTAGAGAGCTCTCCCATCAGCTTAATTTCTCCAGCCCATGCTAGTGGTGGTAGCTTTGTTGGCGGGAGAAACTCTCCGGCTGACATAGCACTGTCCATACTGGCACTTAAGTTGGCATAAGTTATGTCACTCGGGGTGGCTAATTCACAATCCTGAGCAACATAATTTATGTTGACTAAAGCTGCAGTGTAGCCGTAGCCTAAAACTGGTTTAATTCTTACTCTTTAGCTAGCAATACAATAACCACCTAGCCCACAGAGATATATGTATAACATTCATAAAAATAATACAGCTAACTCCCACATTCTCCAAGAGCATAGTTGGAAAAGCTGGAGATTGAAAATGCAGAGGTGATGGATGTGAAGAGGAATAATAAGTAGTGGAATTGATTGTGAAAGAGAAAAAGAAGACATGAGGAAGGAAATGGAGAAGGATTATTTTCTTCAAATAGGTTAATCAAGTAGTGGATAAAGGAGAAGTTGCTGACAATTTATTTAGATTTTAAAAAGCCCTTTCACAAGGTCCTCATAAAAGACTACTAAAGAAACTAAATACTCCTGTTGTCAGAAGTAAAGTATTGTCATGGATCAAAAACTGGCCAAGAGACAGAAAACAAAGACTAATAATAAATGGTAATTTTTCATCATTGTAGAAGGTTAAAATGAGAATACTTCTAGTTTCTATACAAGCACCAGTATTGATTAATCTATTTATTAATTACCTGAAAAAAGGGGTGGAAAAATTTGTAGATGACACAAAATTATTTAGGTTAGTCAAGTCCAAAGAAAACTGTGAGAAGACTGTTAAACCCTGAATCATGAAGGTCCCTTCCAAAACTTGCTATTTTAGCATTAATTATTACAATATTCTTGTTATTCATATTAATGTCCAATCCCCTCTTTGAACCTTGCTAAATTTTTGCCTCGGTAATATCCTGTGCCAATGACTTCCATAGTCTTACCATGCGTTTCGACATAACACGAGAACAAGGGGACAATGAAATTGAAAGGCGACAAATGTAAAACTGATAAAAATACTTTTTCACATAATGTGCAATTAGAGTGCAGAACTTATTGCCATATATGTGGTTGAGGTCAAGAATTTAGTAAGGTTGAAAGAGGGCTTGGACTTTTATAAACACAAAAAGAATATCCAAAGTTGCAATACTAAATTTTTTGAAGGGATATAAAGCCTTATGCTTCAGGGTTTAAGCCAATTTCTAACTACTATTAAGATGAGCTCTTAATCAAAATAAAATTATTGAATATCTGTCTACAGGCCCGACGACAGGGGAGAGGGGAGCAAAGGGGGCAATTGTTCAGGGGCTGGCAGATAGCAGGGTTAAGGCAGGCTTCCTGCCTGCCCACTCTCGCTCCGTGCCGCTCCTGGAAGCGGCCGACCAACGTCCCTGCGGCCCCTGGGGAGGGGGTCTCCGTGTGCTGCCCCTGCCCCGAGTGCTGACTCTGCAGCTCCCATTGGCCAGGAACCGCGGCCAATGGGAGCTGCGGGGGTGATGCCTGCGGGCAGCGGCGCATGTAGAACCCCTGCCTAGGAGCCGCTGCCAGAGGGGTGTGCCAGTCGCTTTCGGGAGCCACCTGAGGTAAGTGCTGCCCCCCTGCTCCCCACCTGCCCTCCAAACTCCTGCCCCAGCGTAGAGCCCGCATCCAAACTCCCTCCCAGAGCCCAAACCCTCAACCCCTCTTGCACTCAAACTCCCTCCCAGAGCCTGCACCCTGCATCCCAACCCCTGCCCCAGCTTGGTGAAAGTGAGTGAGGGTGGGGGAGAGCAAGCGATGGAGGGAGGGGGATGGAGTGAGCTGGGGGTGGGGCCTTGGAGAAGGGGTGGGACAGGGGCGTGGTTGCAGGGAAGGGGCAGGGCAAGGGTCTTTGGGTTTTCTGGATTAGACAGTTGGCAACCCTACCGGGCAGGCATGTAGAAGCCCTGGCTGTGCTGGAAGAGTGTGCCCAGTAGTGCAGCTGGCAGCTTGCTGGGAACCAGCCAGCGCAGGTGCAGAATTGCCCAATTGTCAGGTGGACTGCACCCTTGTGGCAGCTTGTGCATGTGTGGGGGCCCATTGACTATTCTGCCCGGGGGCCCGGAATTGCTGTCAGCGGGTCTGTCTGACTACTGTGGAGAAGAGTTGGCAGGCACTAGGCAAAAGCAGATTAAGCAATTGCTTAGGGCCCTGAGCAGCTCAAGGGGGGCCTCCCATATTTGCTTTTTATGTGTTGGAGAGGGGAAGGAAATATTCCTGCATAGGGCCCCTAGCGGGCTAGCACTGCCTCTGGGGTTTCTTGCACCTTCCCATTGAGCACATGGTGTTGGCTACTTAGAAAGAGGATACTGGAGCACATATTGGGTCTGACCCAATATGCCTTTCTTCCTAAGGGGGTCCTTAACTCTTGGGCCTATTGTTTCTACATGCAGAATCAGAAAGCGAGGAATCAAGCCTAGCCACGTTTGGCCAGGGAAAAAGGCAAGAGGAGGAATAGCATGAGGACTCAGGAGGCTTCACACACCAAAAGTGCGGGGGAGAAGGTAATTCGATCAATCGCCTACAGAGATCTGGCTTTAGTTGAGGAAGCCCCTTTCATTGTGGGTTGTAAGATAGGGCTTAAATTCTTAAGAGTATTTCCTGGACCTCCACCCCCATGCTATTAAAAACTCCAGGTAGGGTAACCAGATGTCCCAATTTTATAGGGACTGTCCTGATATTTGGGTTTTTTTCTTATATAGGCTCCTATTACCTCCCACCCCCGTCCCGATTTTTCACACTTGCTGTCTGGTCACTCTAACTCCAGGGGATTTGAAAATATTGACGGGAGCTCTGATCCTCCAGACAGCTCCTGCTGAATGTAGGGGAGGCGCGTATTGGGAGAAAGAGGCTGTCGAGTTGGGCAAGGGGGAGTAAGCGTCTGCTTGCAGTTTGCACCTTGCGCGGCACCTTTGTCGGTGCAGCGGTGGTCTTTACAGTGTGCTGCTAATGCATGCTGCTGAACAATGAAGGGGGGGGGGAAAGACGCTGTCCCTTTAAGACAGCAGGGACACTATTTTCCAGCAACGCCCCGACGCTTGGGTCTGGCTCGGTGGCTCCCTGTACCACGTGGGAGGAGGCGGGTCTGAGAGTGGGGGCGGGGTGTGGCCGATCGCGCGCTGTGGGCGTATCCCCGAGCCCCGCCCCTCCCTGGTGCTGGCGTCGCGCGGGGGGAGGGCGGTGGAGATAGAGTGGCTGTGGCTCCAGGAGCGGGGCGCGCTGCCGGGCGGGCGCTGAGGCGGAACGAGCCACCGAGTTGACGGTTGGAGGAGCGGGCGGAAGCGTCTGCCTGTGCGGCGGCCGAACGAAGGGAAGCGCCTAGCCGCCCCTCCCGATCCCAGTCCCTGGCCGGAGCGGATGCGCTGCGGTTAGGAGGAAGCGGCGGCGGGGCCTGGGTCAGGCGAAGATGGTGCTGGTGGGGGCGATAATCCTGTTCTGCTCCTTGGCGGCCGGAGCCGGAGGTAGGGACTGGCCGGGGCCTGGCACCGCGCGGTGTGTTGCCGCTCCTTGTTGGGGGCGAGTGAGGGGAGTGCTCGAGGCCGGCGGTGGCGCTCCGCGTCTCCCTCATTTATAGCCTCGAAGGGAGCCCGGGGCCTCTTCTAATTCCTGGCTCCCGTCTTTGGAGCGGATCTGGGCCCCGCTTCCCGGGATCTTCCCTTGAGTTACCGCATGTCAGGCCTGGGTTAGATCCGGGGGCGCTTCTCTTTCCCTCCCCCGCCAGATTTCTGGGCCGGATCCAATCCTTCCTGTACGGGCTCTTTCTCTCCTCCCCCCCCCCCCCCGTTACTGGGCTGAGTCCAATCCCCGTACTTCCCGGTGGTTCTTGTCCCCGCAGGTCACTGGGCTGAATTCTTCCTGTTCCTCTTCCTCCCCCGAAAAATCCCTCCGCTGGGTTTTGTTTTCTGCCCCGCGGTTCCTAGGCTGGGTCTGACTTCCCTTCCCCTCGTCCCCTGAGACTTTCTTTATGACCTCAGGATCTGTGACTGCCCAGGTTCATTCCCTGTTATTCTCTCTAAATCTTCCTCCCCCGCCCGTTGTGTGACGGGAGCGATAAGATGGTCTGTGTTTGAGAGAGAACAAGGCGCACAAACAGCAGAGCATGGGGGTGGTTGTTGCCTGGTGAATCGTCTTTCCCCCTCAACAAGGCATGTAGTAAACCTCACCAAACTACTTTTAGGCACATAAAAGATGTAAAGTAGCTAGAACATCCTACTCCCAAAAGGAAGAAATCTTCAAGAGAAAGTAGAGTGGTTGAAAGTTGAAAGCTATTGTGTTTTAGAGGTCTGGGAAGATGATTAGCCGTTTGTTAACACTTCTTAAAGCTCCAGTTTCTATGTAGTAATTTCCCAGTTTTTGAGGTCACTTGAGGTTTTAAAGGCGGAAGTATGGTTAGTGAAAGAAGTTAGAGCTCCCTTTTCTGCTGTGGAAATAGAATATAAGAGCTGGGATTTCCTGGAATGGGACTGTAGTTACAGCTAGGGGCTTAACTCTGTCCCAAGCCAGGGAACCTTAGCCTTGGAAGAAGCGCTGTTGCTTTTGACATAATTTTTATAGTGGCTATGAAATGCACTTTGGAATTAGGAAGATATATGGGGAGGGTGGTTGGTTGTTTTGTGTGTGTGTGTTTTGTTTTGTTTTTTAGATGACTCTGGAAATGGAAGGGTTAATAGCAGCATAACTGAAGCAGTTGATGGAGGGGTGGGTGGAGTAGTTGATAAGGACTTCTGCTTGTTTCACACTTATTCTGTTTGAGCTCTGTTTCTGTACATTTCAGTATTAATGGGATTGTGCAAAAGATGGCATTTTGGATGAATTGTAATAAAATGATTTTGAAGTAGTTACATGAAAACTTCAGAGCATAGTTTTTAGGCAAAGCCAACAGAAAAATACTTCTAAGATAGAGCTGAGAAAGCAACCCAGTTTGCTGTCAAAACACACACTAATACTGCAGTATCTAGTACTTTATATAGATCAGAATATAGACCAAGTTTTTCTACTAATGTTCCTGTAAGTTTGCAAATATTAGGACATGACATTTTTAAACAAGAATGTTTTGGAGTACTATTCAAGGGTTTTTCCTCAACACTTTATATAAATTGATTAAATTGTCCTGACACTAGGAGCATTTGAGATAGCTCATCCTCTGTTCTTAAAAGTAAAATAATGCTTTCAATAGGAAGCTTTAAGTACACTAAGAGTAAACTTAGAATGTACAAAAGCAAATTCACTGGATGCAAATTTTAGGTCCAGAGCTGTCAATTTTATTTTAGAAATTCATATTCAGATTACAGAGTAGCAGCCGTGTTAGTCTGTATCCGCAAAAAGAAGAACAGGAGTACTTGTGGCACCTTAGAGACTAACAAATTTATT